ATATGCAGACGATACAACTTTGCTTGCTGAAAGTGAGGATGACTTGAGGCACTTACTGATGAAGGTTGAAGAATACAGTCTGCAGTATGGATTACATATCAATATAAATATTTGAAGCATATGCACCTCACTATAAAAAAAAAAAAAATCCTCACAACTGGCGGCTTAAGCAGCATCATGATAAATGGAGAAAAGATTGAAGTTGTCAAAGAGTTCATATTACTTGGTTCTACAATCAATGCCAATGGAAGCAGCAGTCAAGACATCAAAAGATGTATTGCATTGGACTAATCTGTTGCAAAAGACCTCTTTCAAGTGCTGAAGAGCAAAGATATATCCTTGCAGACTAAGATTTGCCTAACCCAAGCCACAGAATTTTCAGTTGTCTCCTATGCGTGTCAGAGCTAGACAATGGATAAGGAAGACCAAAGAAGAGTTGATATATTAAGTGGTGGTGTTGATGAAGAACACTGAAAGTACTGTGGACTTCTCAAAGAACTAAGAAATCTGTCTGGGCAGAAGTGCAGCTGGAATGCCCCTTGGAAGTGAGAATGGCCAGACTTCGTCTCACCTATTTTGGTCATGTTGTCAGAAGGGACCATTCTCTGGAGAAGAATGTTATGCTTGGTAAATTGGAGGCTCAGCAAAAGAGGGGAAGGCTCTCAACAAGATGGATCGACATGGTGGATGCAGCTATGGGCTCAGGTATAGTAGGGATTGTGAGTCTGGCTTAGGACTGGGCAGTGTTTCACTCTGTTGAGTGTAAGGTCATTATGAGTCAGAGACGACTCAACAGCACATTACAACAACATATGAAAGTCAGTGAAGAAAAGTTTAAGAAAGCAAAGAGGTAATTTTTTACTAAATATTTTATTTGAAAGAAATATTGTTCCCTATCTTGTAATTTAAATGTGTATCTACAGTGGATTTATTAAGGTCAGTAGAATTAATTGTGACTTTCAAAAAAGTTAAAAGCAAGCACTCCTTACTTGAAAATTGAGGGAAATTCTCATGGCACTAACTTTGTTTTCCAAGTTTCAGCACAGGGTGATTGTTTTTTTTCAGTCCTTGCCATTAAAGATTTAGGAGCTCTGGTAGCATAGTGCCTAAGGCACTTGACTGCTCACCAGAAGGCTGGCAGTTCAAACCCACCAGCCACTCCTGGGAAGGCAGGTTGGGCAATCCTACTTCCGTAGTGATACTGCCTCGGAAACCCAAGGAGGGGTCGCTATGAGTCGGGGCCGACTCCACGGCAAACAACAACAACATTAAAGATTTAAGCACAAATGAAACACCTATCAAACAATTTATTTATAAAAAATGAACTAGCTTGAATTCACTTATTTTGCAAAGTAATATTTTCATAAATCTATTTATTAAAATAAGTGAACAAAATTTTAAAAATGTACATGTAAACAATTTTTTCCCCTCAGGCTATGCATGGATATGCCACATGGATTGAAAATATTAATTCTTTCTCTTCTTCATCCACTGTTCCTTCCACTTCTTGGGACACAATTATCTAATGAGAAAGTGTTAGGCTTTGGACTGATACATTTTCATCTACACTCCTGGTTCCAAGATTTATGACTTTAAGATCTTGGGCCAGTTATTAACCCCTCTAACACTTCTCGGAAGGAAGGAAGGTTGGGCAATCTATTTCCTTGAAAACCCAAGGAGGGGTCGCTATGAGTCGGTCCGACTCGACGGCCATAACAACAACAACACGGCTCCGGATCTTCTTATCAAAAATGGAGGAAAGGGATAATAACGGAACTGCAGTGAGCAGTTAGTGACACCACTGTATGAAAGAACCTAGCAGACCCTCATTAACTGTTGCTTTTCGTTTTGTTTTAAATGGAGTTAACTCTCTACTATAACTGGTTTTATAAGATAGATTCTTGGACTATATAGACAGCAGATTACACTCAAGATAATAGGTATAACACTCTCTACGTTTTGAATGCTTCCGATATTCCAGAACTGTGTTAGGTGTGCCATTTACTGGAGAAATATCTTTTAAGCCTCATAATACCACCATGAGTTAGGTAATATGATTTTTGCCATCTTGCAGATGAGAAAAAAGAAATTCAGAAAAGTAAATGGGTTGCATATCAAGTGACAGGGATGTAATCTTAGGTACTCTAATTCTATCACTCTCCTCTCACTCATACTATTTCCTAGGTTCTCACTAACTAGCCATTGGAAATAGTGTCAGAGGAAACAGAAAGGAAATGAGATAATCTAGGTTAGGAAGGGAATTTCAAATCTGGTAGCAGCAAAGGGAGAAAAAAAAAAAAAAGCTACACAAGGAATTTCCGGTGTAGAAATCCTGTGAGCTACCTAGCTCCTTGGAAAAGAAGGTGTCTAAAGGTGTGACTGCCCGTCACTTCCTCACTTCAAGCCTCCTTAGTTGCTTGTGCCATATCTATAAAAGTCTGTGATATTAAAAAGGAGATTTAAAAAAGGTATGTATCAGTTTGTCGATTATATAACTCTAAAGGATTTTGAAAATAATCTCGTCATTATAAAAATTTTGAGACCAATATGAGTTTGGAAGATTGTATTTTCTGATTTTATTTGGGACTCCATGAGGATCTCCACTTTTAACAAATTGGTCAATACATTCAATAAGATACAGAGTATCTTCTTCATTCTCAGTTTTATTTACAGGAGGTTTTTGCTTCCAAGCAAGAGAGGAGCTTGAACCAGAGGTCAGATCTCTAAAAATCTGCTTGATTTTGGGACATATTACAACTTATTTGTGATGCATAGTGAATTTTACAATTTGAATGAATTCAAATTAAATGTCTAGAAGGGTTTTCAATAGCTTTAGGAAATAATTATAGAATAACAATTTACAGTGTGTTCTATCATAAAAAGAAGTATTGATATCACTGAATGGCTAATGATCTGAAAGAATTCTTACCTCTCATTTGATAATTAGCAATCTATTGCAAAAGACCTCTGTAATGTGTTAAAGAACAAAGATGTCACTTTGAAGACTAAGTTTTACCTGACCCAAGCTATGGTGTTTTCAATCATGTCGTATGTATGTGAAAACTGTACCATGAATAAAGAAGATGG